TCAACCCTGGTCGAGATAACTCTCGAATATATAAACCATCCAAAACTTCCACACACATCATACAGTATTTTCCACTCATCTAGTCAACAATCTAGTCCAGTCCACAAAAATGTTCACCAAACAAGTACTAACATTAACAATTCTAATTGTGACAATATCTTTGGCACAATCCCAAAGTCACAACGCCCAATTCGGATACCGAGTTGCCGGAGACAGATTGCTCTACTCTACAATTCAACACAGAGAATTCACCACTTTGGGAATTGTCAAGAAGGATGTACCATTCCCTCCAGAAGGACACACCAATTCGGCCATCATAACATTTATTAATGTTACTGACCAATATTTGGATGATAATGGTGGTTATGCAACTCTTCTTGAAGGCGGAGTCAACTATAATCACACGACTGTGCATTTGACCAGCCAGAGGGGACATTGTTTCAATTTCCAAATTGATATTTATGGAATGTGATAAGGATAGAGGACTGATTTTTTTGTACTTAAGTTGTATATAATAAATTATATTAAAAAATATGATGGTTTTGTCATTTGTTATAAATAAATATAATGAGTGTTTATCGTACATCTTAACCTGGTATTTTCCTCAAGTCTTTTTATTTTATATATCTAATAGTGTTGGTTTGTATATGTTGCAGCAATGCCTACCAAAGGCGATTATGGTCTGAGATTGCATTTGAAATTTTGAGATAACCTCAAACAGAAATTTTTGATATCATACTGCTTGATATCTAGCTGGCGGATGTTGGGATCAAACCCGGGACTGACGTTTAAATAATAATAGTTTATTTTTTTTATAATTGACTCTAATTTTATTGTTATGCAACTATTTGGTGTTTTTCTTATTTTTGAACAGCAATCAAAACTTTTCTAAGAAGACTTGTATATTTTAAAAGACAACCAATGGTTATTCTAATTTTATTTGATATATTATTAGGTATTAGAAATTTTTGCACTAAGAGACATATTTTTCAGATGTATATTTTCAGCTGAGCCACGATAAGCCAATTTTTGTAAAAACACACATTTAAAATTATTTTTTACGATTTAATCAAAATTTGGCTGTATGTCAATTTGTTAGACCATAAACAAAAACAGTGTTATATTTTTAAGATATTAAAATTTAGTAAAAAAACGTAGATTGATATAAAAAACTATAGCTCAAAAACAAACTTATATGAATTCAATTTGGTCATTGAATTCAACCGCAAAAAAAAATTATTTAAATTATTAATAAAAGTGTATCAGAAATATGTAAATATAAAAAGTCTAAAAGATATAAAAAGGGAAAGTCACATGTTTTTTAAATTATTCCAATGTTGATGATTAATTTGATGAATTTTGAGTTTTATAAGCATTCTTTAAATTTATTTCTTTTTTTATAAAATAGCTATATTTAAGAACTACATTTTTAAAGTTTCGAAAATTATTTTTATGCCTCCTGGATAAAAATCACAATATATATTTCAACTAATTGAAAATTTTCGTTCAATTCTACTATTTTTTCATATATTTAACTAAATATATAACATTTTTAACACAATATTTTTCACATCTCTACAACGCACTTCATTTACAAATATTTTTTGACCTAAAATTTGAAAATAATTTAGAAACTTCAAATCTAAACTTTAGAAATTTTAGAAAAAAATTAATTTCAAAATATAGAAATATTGAAAATTGTACTTTCTATCGATAAGATAATCAAAATCGAAATTTACGTCAAAATAATAGGTTGTCAAATATCTCCCTTCCGCCTTTTTGTATTAAACCAAGAGCAAAAAAGCGGAAGGGAGATATTTGACAACCCAATATATTTTAAAAAATATATTTATAGAATTAAATAAAAATTGCTTATTTTCATTCAAAGAATTTTCTTTCTGTACAAAAGAAAATTATATTCAACAAATTTCATTAAATGTTTAAATTAAAAATGTATAAAACAATTTTTTTATGTTTTTACCCGTTTCCTAAAAGAAAAAGTAATAAATAAATAATTCACTGAATATTGATTTTTGGAAGCTAGATTATTAAAATAAGATAATGAATAATTTTAGTTAAAAATCTAATATACAAATAGTTATTTATATAAATAATTATTTGCATATTAATTTCAAATTTCATATAATTCATACTACTATCAAACAAATTAATCACAAAAATATCAATATCAACTCATTTTGATTTCAAATGTTAATTAGTATATTCCAAACATGTTTATCAACATTGATTTATATCTAACATTTACACGTGCGATTAATTATGAATCATGATCAAAATAATTGAATTTTGTAATACAAAGATTTTGTACCTATAAGCCATTGTGATGATTATCATCTAACTCTGTCAGGAGGCAACCCAACGATTGTCTTATCTCAATGTAATAAATTATATTATTACTATTTTTGTAATTTTAATGTATTTTAATTGTAAACGTTGTGCTAACTATATTTCCAAGTAAAACCAGATGTTACTACTGCTTGACATCAGGTTGTCCCAGACGGGTATCGAGTTTACAACCTGGTTGGAAGAAATATGGATCTAACCACTAGACCACGGGGAAGCCGACAAATATAAATAAATATAATATTTTACATTGGTTCATTATTACATTAACTAATTAGTATTAATCATTATTCAACTTTCTCAAATACTTCGTTGAGTTGATTCATATTAATGTAGCCCTTGGCATGCATAACAAACATTGCACACATTAAGTCCAGATTTTCTTCCTGTTTTCGAACTGCATATATGTATAAGAACTAAAATAAAATATTTATATCTAAAATAAATATTTTTTTGATAAAAACAGCAATTTGCAAAATAAAACTTATAACAAAAAGCGTCACTTACTACTGCAAGAATCATCCCCAGAAAAATAACGCCAACCATACAATTTAGTATAAGATTGCTCATTTCAGTCGACATCTTCATATCAAATTTTTATAAATACCCAATAATACTTTTTAATATATTTTGATAAAATTAATAACGACACTGAACATCGATGAATATTTTTTAATAAACACATATGACACGTATCATGATAACTCTATCTATTGCGGATTCAGAGTTCGAATAAAATTTCAAGGTTGAATCATTATGACTGGTTTATAGGTGAATTAGTACGATATCTAAAATAATTTTATGATATTTCAACTTGCAGCTTAGTCCCTCGGGCAGCCTGATGTCAAGCAGTAGTGAGATCGGTTTTCCCTTGAAAATATAGATAGCAAGATCTAAATAAAAATAGTCCTTCTTCGTCATTGCTGCATTAATAATAAGCCAACACTAGTACAATTATTTTAATAATTAATTTCACAGTTAGTAATATTACAATTACTATAAATAATTTCGTAAGATAAATTCATCTTTTTTGCAGCAAGAAATCAGAAATAATTAAACAAAATAACAACAGAAATGAAATTAATAACTAACTAACTAAATGAAAAATACTAAACAAAATTAAAAATGTATCAATCATCACAGAGTTTTATTCGAAACTTACGAAATTATCAAAATCTAAATTTTTCATTAAAATGCAATTTATGAGGTTTTGTCAAAACAGTAAATAAAGTAATACCATAAATCAATCATTTCTCTCTCATAACAATCATTAACTTTCTTACAATTAGTAACAAAATTGCCAAATCATCTGAATAAATGTGAAATTTATTCATCACTTTTATTTGTACGATGTTATATAACTAGAAATAAAAGTTTCAAAATGCATATACTAGTTTAGGAAACAAACAAACACACATCTAGTAAAACTAAAAGAAGTTACGTAAAAAATACGACCCATATTGTCGTGCAGTTTTTTCGAATACAAATTTTAAAATTTAATTAATAAATATTATTTAAAAATTAATTCGAGCGCACAATTTCATGATAATTTTTCAATTCACACGAATAAACTTAAATCCAATATATAACAGCTTCCTTGAATATCTCTTATCAATTTGATAACATCTGCAATTTATGTAATAATAATATACATTTAACGAAAATTTTCTACTTTAACAAAACACTTCCAGATAAAAATATCTCACACAAATAAACTGATCGATATAAAAATTATGATAAAAAATTGATTGGTCGCAGAAATTGGTGATTCACGCGATTGATAAGAAAAATTGCTTATCTTTTGGAAAAATGGATAGAAAACGTTTTGTGTGAGTAATAAAATATTATAAACTATTAAACAGTTATGAGTAGTACAATAATATACATTTATATTAGGATTTTCATCGGAAAATTCAGCATCATTCTCAATATTATTATTATTTTTTGACGTATAACTTGTTGTTTATCTTGAGAAACTTTCTTAATGACTCCTATAACTTTTATACTGGATTTCTTTGTTTATTGAACCCTCGAGATTCTTCTTAATATTTCTCACACATTTTCTCTCCTGGATCTGTCTTTTTTCATTCCGGAAATACTTTTTCTAAACGTATAGGTTTTAATCAAGTATAGATACTTGTTAATATTTTTGAATTTGTTTTTTCGCTATACGACTTATTCTTACCATTTTTTTTAAGAACAAGATAATGTAATTAAAGCTGTATTTGCCTTGATTAAAGAAAATAGTTTTATTTCTTTATAATACTAACAAAATTTGACACAGAAGTGTTATCTAACATTCTGAGAGCAATTTATTAAAATTATTTATTCTATCCATTTTTACAAATTTTAAACCAATATAAATTTATGTAAATTAATTAATAATTAGATACAATTAATAACAAATAATTAAATTATATATATCATATAATATTTTGTCTATTTAAGAATATCTAGCCAATTGATTTTTTCAGATTTTTTTAGGACCGTAAAAAGTTGTCCACATCTGTTCAACATGCCAAACAATACTCATATACATTACTAAGAAGCAAATTGATAACACCTGTTTTATCACATATATAAACAATATCAATCGCAAAAACTTCAGCAAAATAATTCAGTTACCATTTCTCACCATGGCTTACAACAAATTAGTTCTCGGCTTAGCAGCCATCGCCGTTTTGGTGGCAGCGGCCAATTGCCAAAGTCACAACATGCTTTGGGGCCAAAGGACAGCCGGTGACAGATTATTGTTCAATTCAATCGAATATGAAGAATTCAAGCCATTGCAAGTGGTTAAAAGAGATGTCAAGTTCCCAAAGGATGGACAATTCATTATGCCACCATCACCTGCATCAATGCCACTGATCAATATGTGAACGATCATGGAGGTTATATTTCTCTTTTGGAAGGAGGTGAGGAAAATTAATTATAAAATTCATTTTTGGTAATAGACATAATATAAGATGCAAGGAAGATATTGTTTTAATTTTACTCTCAACCTTCCTATAACGCGGAATTCTTACAGCGCGGTTTTTCGTTCACAGTACAAAAGTTCCTTCCTTGCAAATGATTCTAGCAACTAGATATTGTTGTGAAATGTGTTAATATAAGTTTTATTATCGACTATTTCATTTTTCATGATATTTCATGATATTTTCATATAAATAAATCAGTTTATATCCTAGTTGTGTACGACATTGGTTTTAGTAGTGTCAGAGCTTTTTCGTCAAGATTTCTAAAAGAAGTTTTCTTGAATTGTTTTGTTGGAAAAGAGTTTTTTGGTTTATCTTTTGTTTCATATTCAACATATACTAATTCCTATTTTTTCAGAATTTCTGCTATATCTCGTATTGAAATACTGAAAAATTTCAATTGTGGTTTTAGTAGTAAAAAAGAATGTATAAAACTCAATTGACTAAAAATTGTATAAATTTCAATTGTAATTCCTTGTCCTAAATAATCTATTTGAGGAGCTACCAGTTTATCCATTAACATTTCCAATTAAAATTTCTTAATCAAAAATTTAATGAATGTGATTGTATAAATTTTAATTACTTAACTTAAAACAAATTTATAAAAACAATGTCTCAATTGGCCAAATAGTTCCTCCAATTTGTTTCCAATTTGTTCATTTACATTAAGATTATTATATTTTTTTTACTTGCATAGATTTATTGCCAATCAAAATAATATACATTTTTTAAGACAATATGCTGAATGTTAATGCATTAAGAGATGAACTCCTATGAGATATCTCTTTTATTTTTTTAAATTTTATTTAAGATCATATGGCCATTTTTTTTTCAATCTTCGATTAGGAGATTCCTCGCTTAATTCTTTTAAATATTTGTTTGGGTAACCTGGTAATTTTTCGTGATATTTTTGCTCCTTTCTTTTATTATTTCAGTAATAGGTTTATTTTTTAGGTCCTAAGATTATTAGAATAATTAGATTTATCAAACCAACTTTGAAAAAGATCAGCACATTTAATACATTTTAAAATACAATTTATCATAATAATTTATAATATAATTTTGAAAAATTTCCATTATTTTTCAGGTGTAAATTACAACCACACAACTCTCCACATCAAAAGTCAAAGAAATCACGGATTTAACTTTATGATTGATATTTATGGATTTTAATTTTAAAAGTGTTTTTGTTATATTATAAGTTGTTTTTGTTAAAATAAATGTATTAAATAAGCATAACAGTAATTATTAATTTTTTACATATTGTCCCGAGTTTAATTATGTCAACCAGAGAGAGGTAAAATAGGTTCTTTTTTAATAATGTAAAAAGATTTACCAAAGTCTGCTAATAGATATATAAGAAATATTTATCAGTATAAAATCAATGCCATACACATATTAATACTAGTGTTTATACAAAAACCGAAATTTTGAATAAAAGTGATTCCAAACGGTTTTTATGAAAAAACTATTTGCTTAAAAAATTCGGACGAAAAATTTTAGCTAAAAATTTTGGGTTATGAATAGCTGTTTTTTCTTGAATTATTTATTGTTTAATTACTACATTTGTCATTTTCAAATTTTGTTATTCATACAGTGAAAATCGAAATTTTCTACAAATAACAGTTTTAAAATTCAATATTTTTTTTACCGACAAACCCTAAATATAAATGCATTCAAGTGTGTTTTTATCAATATTAAATACGTCAGTAGTTAAATAATCTTTCTGTGCGTTTGTATGAATTGTTATTCACTCAAAGATAAGTTATTTTATAAATAATGATTCATACTACATAATGTTGTAAATATATTTGCAAAATTAAAATTTGTCACTTTATGCAACAATTTCTCAAAAATATTAATTTTACTAGAATTACAAATAAGATAACTGGCTACGAAATAATAAGAGATGATTTATAAATATTAGAAATGAATCTAAACAAATTATATATAAATGTTATATCTATTTTTTTGCAAATCAAGCTACAATAATTAGTTTCATACAATTCCTTCAAATTTTTAACTTCCCGAAGGAGAAGTTTATGTTTTAATGTTTTCTCGACGTTTCAAGCCATTCTGAATAGAATGATACCAAGTTAATCGACGTTTTTTCAAAAACATTTCGATCAGCCAAGCTGTTTCTTTCTAAATAGAAGAAATTTTTTGCAATTCTGAATCGATTTTGAAAATTCAAAAAACGTTTGAAAGATATTTGTTGGGAATCGTGCTCATGAGTTTTTTGCATTTGTAAAAATTAGACTTTCATCAACGTTTGCTCAAAAACGCCTGAACCGATTTCAGAAATTTAAAAATCATTTCATGTATCTCAATGAGGACTATCGTTTGTCGGTTTTGTGCGACAATCTGCAGAGCCGTTTCTTTGTAAGTTGGAAAAAAGTAAAACGTTTTGTCCACATTTAAGCTCATATTACCGAATCGATTTTAAAAAATCAAAAACTGTTCAAAAGATATTAATTGAGAATGATACTGATTAGTTTTAGGTGCAAATCTACCGAGCCGTTTTCTTGAAATTAACTGTTGAAAAAAAAAAATTAAGCCGATTTTCATGGAACTTTTTTGCGATATTTATCATGGTCTTATAGAACTTATTGAAATATTACGGCCTTAGGACAAAAAGTTTGATTTCAAAAATTCATCAAAGTTTGAGAAAATGAATAGTTTTTTTGACGTTGGTTAAAATTAAAATTAGACGATTTTCTCGGTATAACGATAGAGCACTTGGACTTAATGAACATACAAAACCATTAAAGTTTTACGAAAACTGGTTCAATTATAAAAATTATTGATATTTGAAAATTTGCTTTTAGAAAATAATCCGAGTTAACGTGTTCGTTTGTTCTCAATTATCTGTAATAAATCCACTCGGAATACTTTTAATCAATCATAAATTAATTTAATTTTTATTGATTAAGTTGATTATTTACACATATCCTGAAGTTCATGTAACTTGCCTCAAGGCAAAATACCAATACCAACTAGTTTTGTTTATCATTAGCACTGATTTTGTATATTGACATGAGTTAACATCGATAAAATTTAAAAGCATTTTATTTGAAACAATTGACCTGATCAATACATGATTCAGAAAATAGAAAGTGTTTGCATCACTAAATTCACAGAATAAACTAACGTCAATTAAATCGTTTTACAATCTGAGCATATAAATGAAGCACCCATGTTGTAAACGGTCATTTAATACGAAAAATTGTACAGAAATAATATAAAATATACTCCTGAAGTTATATAGAAATTGTACAAAATAAAATAAATCATCATGATAAAAATTCATCTCATCGTTTTACCAATTTTTGTAATTTTGGTGCCAATAGTAGTAGATTCTCTTGGTCACGGTATAATTTGGGGTCAAAAAACAGCAAAAGATCGATTGTTATTTAGTACCATAGAAGATCAAAAACCAAATTCAGGACTGTCTCCAGAAAGAGAAGTGCTTTTTCCAAAAAATTGGACAAAATAATTCTGCAAAAATCACATGTATCGAAGTCACTGATGAATATTATCGATGCAGAGGCGGTTACGTAACTTTGTTGGAAGGTGGAGTGAATTTTAATTATGTTAAATTGAGAATAAAAAGAAAGTGGAATAATGGATTTAGATTTAAAATAAATATATATGGATAAAATAAAACTGTGAATGGAGTTTTAATTTAACAAATAATAATTAATTTTTTAAAAAATTGATGTGTGTGTGCGTATGTGTGGAGACAATTTTTGGTCGACGATTTCAGGCGCACGGATCAACCGATTTGAATTGCTCAAAAAACATTCGATTCCTATTAATAGAGAGACGTGCTAATTAGTTTTTAGCGAAGGCAGGTCTAGCCGTTAAGAAAATACGGAGCAAAGAGTGCAGAAAATAAAAATCAAGGTTTTGAGAAAACGGATCAACCGATTTGAATGATTCAAAAAACTTCCTGCTTGTGTTGGCGAAACGATTGCTCTTGGAAAAAAAATTTGTTGGTTTTTTTTAAGATTTCAAATAAAAAATTTTTTTTGAATATCAAAAATGATTTGGATTTTTATTCTAATTTTAATTACTATTTAAATAATTTCAACTTTGCAATTCAATTTAAATTATTCTCATGTTAGAAATATTAGACTAAAAATTAAAATAATATTAGATTAAATATTAGTTTTGTTTATTTACTTTTTACAAAATAATAATAATGAAAGTAACATTATTCATAATATCCTCGAACATTTTATTATGGTGCAGGAAGTTCCAGCGAATCTCCTTTGTTTTATATTGTGACATGTGTGATATATTATTTGAGAATGTGAGTAATATTAACTTATTTGTTCAGAAATGTCAATACTTTTATCACAGTAGACTAGAACCTTGTTGAGACGATTTCCCGCATAATACGCCACTTTATAAATGTTCTTGTACTTTAAAATATCTTTGATCCTAATACAATCGTTTTAACTGCATTTTAATTATTTAATAATAAAATACTTCTAAATAAAATGTGAGAACTTTTACTGGGTTTACTACCCATATTATTTTTTCTTACATTGCTTTTTCATATATTTTTTATACCTAAAGGGCTTATTTTGATACCCTTAACAAATAGCTTCACATTAACATATGGACACAAAAAGTAAATTAATGTTCTAGATAACGACAAAAGGATTCGATTATAAAATCCCTTTACAAAGAAAAATATCCTTAGAGAACGGATACATTTTTTCATTTCGATAACATTACATGAAAATCGTTTTAGAACTATGCGATTAAAATGAGTTTTTTTTTAAATTCTGGTAGCCACATTAGAGAAAGATATTTCGATAAAAGTTCATTTAAAAATAGTATAAAAGTGCATGATATGATAGATAGAAATAATAAACACCTGTATAAAGATTTAACAAAATAAATCGATATAAAGGTCTTATATCTTATTGTTAGTTCATATTATGAAAACATTTTTCATAATATGAACTAACAATAAGATTTGTGTTTTAAATATACTGACAAAAGTCGTTTGCAATAAGCAATATTATTTAGTAGATCTCAATAAGTCGCATAAGGAACAACAATTTTCAAAACATTTTTCACTAACAAGTTCTCGAAGAAAATTTTTATTTTTTTAATTTTTTATTTTCAAACTAAAATTTCAGTATCAAATTTTTTAATTTTGGTATCAAACGATTCAGAATGACTGAACATATTATGAAAACTGTAAACTAGCACCCAGGATTTTTTGGCAAAAATATAAAAAAAATTCTTCGAGAAGTTGTTAGTGAATAATGTTTTAAAAATGGTTGTTTATTATGTGAGCCAAAATACAACTTTCTTTGATAATTTTTTACAAACGGCTGCAACGATTTTACAAAGCCATTTGTTAAAAAAAATCGTAAAGCATGTCGTCCAAATGGTTTTAAATCCCAAAACAACAAAATCCACATTTTTCCATTCGTGAAAGTTAGCATAATGTCGCCTAATTTGCATATAAAATCTTACCCATTAATTCAATAATAATTAAAATAAATTACATCTAAAACAGACATATATTATTATTTATTTTATATCGGTTATGTATTTCCTTATTCATAACTTGTATTTTTTTCTCCATTTATGTCTCCATTACACGCAACATAGATTTATCTCATGAATATTAATAATTTAGCGATTCTCGATATATGTAATTTATATCGATATTATTAATTTATCATTCGATAATATTGAATTTATTGCAGCCTCAGGCTATTTGTATTGAGACGTGATTTGATTGCAAAGTCGATATAAATCAGAAATTGATCTAAATGAGATTTTTTATGAGATGATCGAGAAACTTGGTAGCTGATAAAATCAAGATAGACAACTTATTAAAGAAATTTCTGTGTGGTAAGTGAAAGATTTTAATTGAATTAATGAATTATTTGAAAAATAGCAATGCACAGAACGTAAAGTGAAGTAGAGCAAAAAAGTCCTACACAAGTATCTCAAAAAAACTAAGTAAATTTTGGTATTTTTAACACACTATTTTAAAGTAGAGGACAAAAAATGTGTAACTGTTCATTGGTTCAAATCGTGCGACGTCAATATCAGAAGATAAACGACTACATTGCCACTTTTTTATGGGAGTATTTTTTTCGTTGGTTCTTTTGGTTTTGAGTACTGTTGTTTAGTTTACG